TGCTCTGTAAAGCCCCTCAAAGGAAAGTTGAAACGGTTTTGTATTTGAGTAAAAACACTTGAGCCGTCTTCCCCTTAGCGAAAACTAAGACGTTTGAAATATATCACATTCTAATTTGAGTGTATTTGAAGTACAGTTCATTTATTGTAAGTATACAATAAATAGACTGAAAATATACACTTCTTTTTTTTTTTTTACATGGTATTAAAATAATTTTCTGAAAATCTTTTAAAAATACCTTTATTTAAACTACATTTGAAGTTCCCTTCATGCGTTCTGAAATATGTAAATACTAAATTAGTAGGCCCAAAATACCTTTCACATATATTTTCTATAAAATATGTATTTTTTTCATGCAAAATATGCTCCAACCCTAATTAAAATGCAGAGATGAAAAATATGTGCAGAACACTCTTAAAATACCGGGAAATCGTAAATACTATTGTGTTATGCTGTAAGTATCTTACTTTGGTAGTCTGACTTAAACTACCAAAGTATTGAAAAGCTCGCCTATTAGAAGTTCACTTCAAGCACATTTGGAGTACACTGAAGCGCCTAAATACAACATTTGATTAGTTTGTCAATTGAGTTCTGCAGCGTCGCACTGATAAATCAGCGCAGTTTATGTTATTGATTCTTTTTTTCTATCAAGAACGCACCTGATGAGTTTCTTGCGCACCATTCACAAACGGGGTTCGGGAACAACAACCACAACACTTGCTGATGCTGGAAAGCTTCAGCACGTGCTGTGAGCAGATATGTTTGGCGTGTAATTGTGTTAGCACAATGTTAGTTCACTTGATGCGTATACTCACCATTGTACGTGATGTTAGTAGTGACTTTAATATAGTGACGCTAATGACCATATTAAATAGTCAACTGGTAAATAAAAGCAAAATAACTATTTTAAAGTGAAGAAACTAGCTTGACTCGCTTCATCTTGGGGGGTGCTACCCAGAGAAGCTAGGAAATTTTTTCTAGGAGCCATTTTATGGATATTGTTTTAGCGACTGCGCCGAATAATTATTAGCTGTATAATGCTTGTAGTAAGAGATATCGTCCACGAACATCGGAAAACTGTTTCCCCTTTGGCAGACTTCCGAGGAGAATATCGAATACTTGGAATCTTAATAAGTGCAGAGCTAGTCACCGGCCGAATGATTACCTTCAATGTGTAGGCTATATAAGGCTCTAGACCAGTAACGGGTCTGTCATTGAGGTGTTCAGTGCGTCATGGTATTTGTGTTCGTTTCTAATTGGTTACTTGTGAAATGTATTTAGCAGTGCCTTAAAATACAGCACGGACACCTTTACTAACAAAATCCTCCAAAAATGTGTGGCTGGTTTTTAGTGCGCCAATTGCATCTTGAGGGGCAAGGAATTATATTTTTGGTATATCTGAAATTTTTTCCGATTAATATTTATGAAATATTGTGAATACCTTTCGCACGTATTTCGAATGGGACAAAATAATACAGAATGAATACAAAATGAATATTCGCATTCAATATATTTCAAGTTCGTTTCAAGAACGGCCTCTTTTTGCTAAGGGTCATTTTGCCTCCAGGATCACGAATATCGAAACTATTTTTTTTTTCAATTTGGTGCCGGAGGCTGCAGAAAATCATTCTCAAAGCACCGCTGCAGCCCCTCCTTCCCGGAGCGTTGCGTCATAAAAGGCGTTTTCGGAACCTCCGCTCTCGCGCATCTTCTGTGCCGATCGAAGCTATGCACGCGCACCGCTTGCTATTTCCAAAAAAAAAAATAAAGGACAAAAAAAGATTTCACGACTGTTGTCAGTGCGGGGGAATATAGACGCTTTGCAGCAGCTGTGCATGGGCGCCGCCATAAGCGACCTTCAGTTTTTGTTTCCTCTTATTCCGTTCGCTTCACGTCATCATTACCACAGCAGAACAGGTTATTGCGACTTTAGGTGCTACTGCGTCCTTTTCTTCATCATAGAGCTCTTTGGAGGCTCATAAACGCCCGCTTCGGTGGCTCGGCATCTCGGTAAAACAGGAGAAGGTCAGCTATGGCGGCTCAATCTGGCGCGTGTGCAAAGCGTCTATACTTGGCAAGCTTGATATTGCACGCGCTGCCCACACAAGTTGCTTGTGTGGACATGCCTGGCGGCTGAAATATCATTTTATGACGTAATGACTGGTCGGAAGTTTTTCGTCTTTTCTCACGTTTCGGGGGAAAAAAAGTGATATTCAAATTCAAGGGATAAAAATACTCTAGAATTCACCTCTATCTCGTTTTTTTCAAAAAGTGCCTTTAATCTGACTGTCTGTGTTCCATAAGCAGCGCCAAATGCGCTAATGCAGGAAACTCTTGATTTCCTTGGAAGCAAATGAGGGCGCAGCATTTGTTCATGGCACGTGTCTAGTGCGTTCCCACAACAGTGGTGTACAAACTTTTGTAGGAAACGCGGAGGGTAAATTTTATCGAGGGACTTCAACAGTTTCTTCAGCCCGGTTTTCTTAAGGTAGGTTACGTTACTGAAGCCTTAGCCTGCTAATGTCGATCGAGAGTCTCCTGAACATCTGCGTTCCATATTAATCGAGGCAACCAGTTCAAGGAGCAGCCTTGCACGCGACATTTGAGGCACGGATGTTTCGGTGACCTGTAACGTTAACGCGGGCAAACGCTATCGTGTGAATCGGCCTTCGCTCACAGGTTAAAGATGCCATGAAATAAATTTTGGGCCAGGATAAATGATTTTACATTGGAACTTCACTAATCGGACATCGTTCAGTGGGCCAAAACAAAGAGGGAACGAAGTCAAAATCCAGCTTTTCGGTACGGAGATTTGAAGATATAGCAGACTATTTCGTACCTCGTTTCCTTCGAAAGCTCTCCGCCTTTTCACCGTGATATATCCGCGGTACCCAAACACGTCAGCCGACCCCAAAACATGTCAGCCGACCCCAACTCACTCATTAGACACGAGAACTGCGTCACTCGGACGTAAGCACTCGTCAACAATCAGTCCGTCGACGAATATTTGGATTCTCGTTCGCGGCCAATGAGCGCCCTGATGGTAGTTTTCATCACTTGCGAATGACAAGATCTATGGTGTACTTAAAAAGTACGTTGGAAGCTCGGAATCATCGCACCGGCGCCCAAGCATGTCACGACCACGGGATTTCACAATTCGCTTTTGAGTTAAAAGCTAGGGAGGAATAAGTTGGACAATTGTTTCACGGTACTTTTAAGTAACACGAAATGTAGTGCCTTCGGACCCTATTCACGAGAAAGTTAGGGCTAACGCAAAACACTCATAAGCATGACGTACGAAGCAAACAGCCCCCAAACTGCGGCGCTACCTCCGCTTGTGTGCAACTTACTAGATTAGCTCTTTTGTGGGGGTACAAACGTCGAGGTACAAACGTCTAGGGCTACCTTCCTCGCCATCTTTAGTCCGCCTCCTGTCGTTGGAAGCGCCATTTAAAGTTGTTTCAAAACTGTGCGTTCCGTAAAGTACGGTGAAACGCCATCTAGACGCTGCGCTTCGATACACGTACTTTATAGAACATACTGCAGTTACCATATCAGCCGTCCTCAAAACGATGGAGCGTCGAACGATGGGGAGGCGGGTCGTGGGTGGAGAAAAGGGGGTGGGGAGACTGCTTGTGGAAGCCGCGTCTATGGGCACTTCCGTTACTGAGCTACACCAATAACTTTACACCTGTGAACAATGTCATATGGGCAATGACAACAAATGAACAAACAAGAAATTACAACAAACTATATGCTATTTAAGAAGCGCTGGGATTGGCTTATGCTCACGCCCCTTGCTTGGTGATTCGTTCTTTAGCCTTCCTATTAGACAATGCCGCAATACCATTGGATTCGAAGGGAAAATGAGATGCGCGGGACCCTGTGGACAGCCTGTGTTTCTTAAGCAGTCAGCGACATTTTTTTTTAAACTTATTATTCATGAGTAATAATAGAGTCGTTTCAGAAGCGCACGCACAAGTGTACAGAAACACAAACACAGAAAAAACACTCGCTCTCAAAATTCCGTCCACCGAATGAGAGCGCGACCGGATACCTCACGCGTGGCTGTAAAACCTTGGAGGCAGTCAAACTCCTCAGAGCACGACGGGGCACGTGCTGGAGAACGACTAAGAACAAAGGCATTACGCCGCCCTTAAAACCCCTTATACAACTTGGCTCTCTCAACTTTTGTTTTTTGTGTTTTTGGTTTGCACCCATTTCAACGGGAATGAACACTCATCGACGAAGGGAGAATAAAGGAAAATACACAAACCGTAGATTGAAAAACGCTGAGCGCAAGGAGAGCGATACGCGACGAAGGTAAAGTGCGTAAAAGGGGACAAATGGGTCCTTTAATTTACTCCGGGTAATGCGAATAATGCGGAGCTCCATTTCCGGCCAAAGGATTATGACGAGGCTGTGGCAAGTTCAAAGCGAGAAAAACAAAGGCTCTGTTCTTAGGGGCTTTTGTTGAACCGTTGCCATCTCCGATGCGGAAACTTTCCGCCCCGTATTAGCGGCGAGATGTTTCGGTGGCGCCCTCCTCTGGTTCCCCCTTGTGACGTCATTACCTTGCGAACAACAAGTTCGATGATGTTTGTAAATAGCATGGTGGAAGCCTGAAATCACTGCGCTCTCAAAGCAGCACTGCCAACACCGTCGAGATTAAAGTTCTTTCATTCCTCTTATTTCCGTCAATGGTATACTCTTTCCGGAAGCTTTGCGCTAGTTCGGATCGAGATCGCCTTTCACGGCATCCCGCCTTCGCACCGCCGCTCTCTTGATAATTTTTCGGGTGGCTCCCTGACCGTCGTTGTGCGCCCAGATCAACTGCTCGCAAACACAAGCCTGGGAAGTAGACATCCCTCGCCGACACCACAAGACGACCAACGGAACAGCGACTGCTCCCACGATCAGCCCCAGGGAGGACGGAGGGTATCCTCCGGCCTCCCATACTTATGCTCTCACCGGCGTCACAATTTCGGGCTGCCGTCGCCATGGCTACGCCCCCAATTGTGATTGCGGAAAACGACACCAGTGCGAACAAAACGGCAGCCGGTCATCTCGGCAACGGTCAACAACCTGCGGAAGCAGGGACAAGTGGCAAGCTCGTGGACGGCAGCAAAGGAAATCATGACAACTCAACTTCCAACGACACTTCTGACTCTGACATGACTACATCAGGCCCAGAGGACCAGGATGACGAGGACTTCATTCCTGTGAAGACAGGACGCAAACGGAAGCGCAAGATCGAGAGCGCCAGTGATGAGGAAAGCAGAAAGAAAGCCATCGTTTCACTCGGTCGGACGGTCATCTTCGCACCGCAAGACCCGACGATACTTCTGAACAAGCTCAACGGCCTGAAGCTCACGGAGGCTCTAAATAGTCACGCCCCTACCGAAGTTGGTGAAATTCGCTGCAACAAGAGATTGAACACACTCGCGGTGGACACACGAAATCAAGAATCCACAGCGTCCTTGCTGCGAATCAGGAAGCTCGTCGGCATTGCAGTGCGGGCATACGAGCCTCGGAATCCGAACACTGCTGTGGGCATTATTCGGGACGTTGACGCAAGCATCTCGGAGAAAGTGTTGCTTCGGAACCTAAGCGCGAACATGACGAAAATCACGCAGGTGCGTCGTTTTGCTGACACGGAAACGGTTCGCGTCACTTTCGCTTCTGCGACCCTACCGGAACACGTATTTCTGGGCAGAGTACGACATAAGGTCGAACTATACGTTGATCGACTAGCGCAGTGCAGGAAGTGTGGCAAGTTTGGACACGTCAAGGCAGTTTGCACTCGCCCCGAGGTGTGCACCAGATGCTCTGGCTCCCACGCGAGCGAAAGATGCGAAGCCGAAAGGGCCAAGTGCGTGAACTGCAAGGGCGCACATGAGGCAACCTCGAAAGACTGTGTGATCTGGCAACAAGAACGAGCCGTAAACAAGTACAAAACAATTAACAAAGTAGACTTCAAAACTGCCCGAGCTGCCGTCCGAAGCCGCGGCCAGCGCAACATCGAACACGACAACTTGATCGTTCTTCAGAACCGTTTCAGTGACCTTTATGATGAGACGCAGGACCTCCCCCCCGAGCAGAGCAAAGCATCACAGAGTGAAACACGGAGTTCGCACCCTGCACGGCGTGCATCATCAAACCCTGAATCAGTCTCTCGGGAACAAGGTGCATCGAGAGAACAGCGCGTGGAGCCTCCAAATAGCATTAGAGAGCAAGGCACATCCCAACATTCATCGCAGCGCACAGCACAGCGGAATTCATACAGTCATGCGCTCCGCACTGCCTCTGCTCAAGCACAATCACAGCCAACCAGCAACCGTAAAACCTCCCGAAGCGCGACCGGCAACGAACAGCCCGGCCTGATATCCTCACTGGGAACCCTTGCACGAACTGTAATGCCAGTGGTCACGGAACTTCTGAAGCAGTTTGACTCTCCTGTGGTGCGAGCGATTCTCCAAATAATCACACTGGTTCAGCAATGGCTCTGCGATGGAGCTTGCTAGGCATCAAACTTCCACAAATGAGTTACCTACAGCACACGCAACGAGCACCACAGGTATCGTACTTCAAGAGCACGCTAGTGAACGACGTCTAGACTCTGTAGAAGAACTTTTTATGCATCAAATATACCGCGAATGCACTGTGCTCCAGTGGAACGTGCGCGGCCTACGAAACAAACTGCCTGATATACGGGACTTTGTACGAAAGTATGAAACGCCCATTGCAATCTTTATCGAATCAAATGCATCTTCAACGCTCCGCATCTCCGGATACGAGTGCCATCATTCCGTTCCTGATCGGGAAAAAAGTCGTATCACCGTGTGTGTGCGCACAGACATTTCAGTTGCCAGGAAAGAAGTCTCCCTTCACACTACAGCCGATTACGTGTGTCTCAAGCTTCAGTACAAAAACATATCCTTCACAATCATCGCGATCTGCATTCCGCCAAGAGTGCATTTCTCTGGCGAGGAAATTCAGGCCGTGCTGCAGGAAATTGATGGACCTTTTCTTCTTTGTGGCGATGTCAACGCACACAACCCACTGTGGGGCGGAGATAAACTTGATGCGAGAGGAAGACTCCTAGAAGACATTTTCAGCTATTGGAACATGGGGGTCCTTAATGATGGAACATACACTTTTCTTCGGGGAGAGCTCAGGAGCGCCATTGATATCACTGCGGTTTCTGAGGACTTCCGTCTTCCCGTCCGATGGATGACAGATCTTGACACCAGGGGCAGAGACCGCCTGCCTCTACTCGTCTCCCTCGACGGCTTTGGAGGAAGAAGGCACAACCGGACAATTCCATATACAGACTGGAGTCGTTTTAGAAACGAAACAGAGTCAGCATATAAAAATGGTGCAGGAGATACAGACATCACTGCCCGCATAACATCATCATTGACATCCAGCACGAAAATGGTGAAACTCCCCGCCAAATACCTTGCGATCGACGCAGATTATGAGAAGTTGCGAGCGGTTCGACGTCGTGCTGAACGACGTGCCAGGCGAACTGGTAAAGCCGCGGACTGGGCGGAAGCCCGACGAACCCTGGCGGTCGTACGACGACACTTAATTCGACTCTCTATGCGACGTTGGAGAGGTACCTGCGGTTCAATGGACCCTCACAAGCCGTCAACGAGACTATGGAACATGACCCGAGGGCTCAAGAAAACACCCAGGCAGAAGTTTCCCTTCCGAGCCTTGGCACTTTCAAAAGGAATCACTGAGCATGCTGCAGCCAATGCGTTCTGCCAGCTCCAGCAGCGGCGCCCTGCGAGCGGTTTGTCACACGAGAAAACCACAGAAGCCGCCGTGCTACCGGAGCTAGACGAGGCTTTTACCATGAGGGAACTCAAAAGTGCTCTACAGGAGTGTTCCCAACACACCTCTCCAGGCCCGGATGGTGTTACATACAAGGCACTAGCCAATCTGGGACCCCTCGCCCTCGGTGCCCTCCTACAACAATACAACGTCAGTTGGAACACAGGACAGCTCCCAGAGTCATGGAAGAAGTCTCGCCTCGTTCCCATCCTGAAAGCAGGAAAATCGCCTCTGTCGCTTGAGTCATACCGCCCCATTGCGCTCTCCAGCTGCATTGGAAAGGTGATGGAGCGTATGATCCTAAACCGTCTGCTCTGGTACCTCGAAAAGACAGGGGTCTTCCCCGAGTGCATGTCGGGGTTTCGTCATGGCCATTCTGCCATTGACGGCGTCGTGGACTTAGTCTCAGATGTTGAACAGCATCGGAGCCGTCGTCTCTCCACGGTAGCTGTGTTTCTGGACATAAAGGCTGCTTTCGACAGCGTGGAACACTCAGCAATACTCACGTCCCTCATTAAACTTCGCGTACGTGGTCGAATCTACAACTGGATCTTGGATTACCTTCAAGGACGCACAATTTACCTAACCACGACAGAAGGAAACAGTGACTGTTTCTCCGTAACTGCCGGCGTTCCACAGGGGGGCGTCTTGAGCCCCACACTCTTTAACCTCGTCCTGGCCCACCTGCCGCAGGAACTTTCAGAGCATGTAAAGATGTCGATGTATGCCGATGATCTGTGTATCTGGTCTTCGGGCCCGAACCGCGCAGTAATCTGTGGAAGGCTCCAGAAAGCACTCAGCAGAATCGAAAGATACCTGAACTGCAGAGGCCTACACCCGTCGCCCAGCAAATGCGTCGCTATGGCTTTCACCAGGCGAAGTTGCAAGCTCTTTCCCATACACATAGGAGAGCAAATTATCCCCTACGTCAACAAGCACAGCTTTCTTGGAATAGTTATCGACAGGCGGCTCACCTGGGCACCTGAAATGAACAGACTTCGATGCAAGGTCAACTCGTACGTGAACATCATGCGGTGCCTTTCTGGCTCGACATGGGGAAATTCAGCCGCCCTCATACAGCTACACAAATCAATGGTACTGGGAAGTCTGCGCTACAGTCTGCCTTTACTGCACCGGGTCAGTTCAACAACCCAACGGGGACTCTTAGCACAGCAGGCAAGAAGCCTCCGCGTTGTGCTGGGAGTGCCCCGAGCGTCGCCTTCTGCAGGAGTTATAGCAGAAGCGCACGAACAACGTATAGAGGCGCTCCGTGTTCAAGAGACCCTCCTGCACTACAGTCGTTTTTCAACCCAGCACGAAGCGCATCATCTGGCGGGCCTGCACATCTCACGTCCAGCGTCGAGTTTTGCAGAAGTGGTAAGAAACCACGTCGAAGCCTTTCCGGCGAACGCTGCACCGTACCGTCACCCCCAGCAAGCACCTTGGACATGGCTGACCCCAACGGTCCACCTCTCAATACCGGACGTAGGCAAAGGCACAGCCTTCGGTTTTGTGAAGCGGCTCCTCACTCAATATAACATTGAAGAGAACTACAAGAACGCCATCCAGATATACACAGATGGATCAAGCACTGCGATGAGCTCGTCCTCTGCAATCTACGTGCCGGATGCGAGCATTTCGGAAGGGTACAAACTCTCCCACCGTACATCGTCCACGGCATCCGAGCTCCACGGCATCTTGCAAGCGTTACACTACATAGAGGCAACTTCTCCGAAGAGCTATGTGGTGTGCACGGACTCAAAATCGGCGTTGGCATCCCTATCAACCACAGCCAAAAAGTGCGCATACCCGGGCCTGCAACAGGCTATACTCGATAAGAACGACACCCTGCACAAAAAAGGGTATGCCATTAGATATCAATGGGTCCCAGGACATGTTGGCGTCACTGGCAACGAGATAGCCGATATGACAGCAGCTCGGGCGCACAAAAACGAAAAAACAGAGGCCATTCCCGTTGCGAAAGCTGATGTGAAGAGCTTTCTCTCTGGTGTCGCAAACCAGATAACGGTAAAAATCTGGGAGCAACCTGAGGGCCACCCTTATCACCTGTACAACTTGGACCCCAAGCTTCAAAGAAGAATCCCTTGGAGCACACCTCGAAACCAACTTTCAGTTTATTTCAAACTTCGCCTTGGGGTCGCCCGGACTGGCCGCCAACGCTACAAGTACAAGCAGCGAGATTCCCCAAACTGCGCGACTTGCCATACCGAGGACACAATCGAACATGTACTCGTTAACTGCAAACGATACGAGAAAGAGCGTGTGATCCTCACTAAGGAACTGAATCTTCTGGATGACCAACCAATGACCATGCGAAAGGTGCTAGGACCCTGCACCAACACTCGAAACCAAGCACGGGCGTTTAAAATACTGATGGATTACTTAGAATCAACTGGTTTGCTGCAAACACTGTAGACGCAGAAGGACGCTCAAGAAGGTCGCCACCTATAACAGAAACAGAGTAGCAAGCGGGGGCAAATAAGCCCTAGCTAACATCTCTGTCGCTCGATGAACCAAACTAGCAAATAAAAAAATACTCTTTCCGACGTCATAGTCAGCTTTTGGGCCAATCGTGGAAGGCCGACCACAGCGACGCTTTCGGTCGCGCACGTCGCCAATAGCTCGAACAAAACCGGGGACACAAAGCGGTCCGGGCCTTGTGCAGTCACTGCACGCGAAGGTATCGGATTTTGAGTCGCTCGCAAATTGAAACGAGCATCCATAGGGGCCCGCCCAGAGAATTTCTAATGATGAAGCCGAAGTTTGAAGGGTGGCTACTGGTTCAGACGAGCTCACCAAGCGTTCCACATATGACTGTCGCCCCCATAACTGTAGTTCACAGAAGGAACGTTTCAGTGCACGTGACAGCTCGCCTCGTCTCGTGCTCTACAATAGCCTCCTCTATACTCACAAAGCCTGGCAGTTTGACGAAGGAGCCATAGAGTGCCTCGTCGCAGATTTGGAGCGCGAGGATCTGGTATCAGAGAGCGTTTCTCGGAGAGCATGGACGTCAGCTTACACCTTTTGCAGCAGCGAGGACCCGAAACACGGTTTTCAAGCCCGACGAGAAAAGGAACGGTAGCGCAAGGAGAGCGAGGAGCACGAGCGGACATTCAATCGCTCTTTGAGAAGTGTGTTTCGGCGTATCGCCTCAGCGGGGCGCCTGTCACGTGGCTCCCCTCTGATCCGTTGTCTGCCACTCTGCCTTTTCAATTTCGGAGGCCGCTTCTCGTGGCGATCTTCCAGGCTTTCTCAGTATAGAGGCGGCTATAGCTCTACTCGCGCAGACCAGCAGTGGGGTGGTAGTGTGGGCAGAACGACTACAGTTCTCAAGATGCATGTCGGCAGCGGTGGTACAATGAATCTGCAGTGCATTGAAACTGGCTGATGAGAGGTGAGATAGGTCTATTTTCAACTTCTTCCTTTTTAGCTTTCATCCCATACTTAAAAGCGAAATAAGAAATCACGTGGTCGTGGCGTGCTTGGGAACCGGATGCGAGGATTCCAAGCTTCCGCCGAGCTTTCTATGCAAACCTTGCATGGAAACAATAATTAGGGTTCTGAGGATAATTATACAGCGAGTAGTTGGTCAGCCATTTCAGAATTGCGACGAGTACCTATGGATGATCAATTTAGCCAATGCAGTACAACCACTAGCGTG